CCACAGAGTATTTCACAGAGTATTTCTTGTCTCACAGAGGATGAGGATGATAGTATCACCTGAGGACCATGAGTTGGAAGGGATCTACAAAGATCCACCCCAGTACATGGATGTCCTTCCTGTCTGCCAGGGCACTGCTGACTCATATTCAACCTTCCATCGACCAGGACACCCAAGTCCTTTTTCACAGTTGCTGCTCTCCAGTGTCTTGTTCCCCAGCCTGTCTGTACTGGCATTGCATTTAATCATCTTTGCAAATTGCAGTAGGCAGCAGTCAGAGATACTAAACGCATAATTCTCTGTAAGACTTTAGCAAGTGGGCCTTCTAGCCCAGTGGATAGGAAAGTGTGGGGCAGGAGTATCCCCTCACAATCCAAACTCCAAATGATTTTAGACAAACACATACATGGCACTGCACCCTTTTAAGCAGAGTTATCAAGGTGTGTCTGCACTGAAATTCCCAGAGAATGAACACATGCTCTGCAGTCACTATCCAGTTCCAAGATTTGTTATTACCCACATGTATAAGCTCCTGGTGGGCTGGACCAGAGGATTGCAAGGAGCGGTGACCAGCCTGTGCTTTGGAAAATCTCACTTTTAACAGCTTGCCCCAAACACAAAGAGTCAAAGCAGTGTTGTTTGGTGTTTGGTTTTGTTTGTTTGTTTTTGTTTTTTGTTTTGTGTAATCAAGACATTACAAAATAGTTTACTGAGGTTCCCATGTGTTGTAGGGTTGGACCTGTGTCTTTGAGGGGTGATGCTCCTTCAGCAGGAAACCCTTCCTCCTGGTGTCACTGTTCCAAGTTGCTGCCTAAAAGGGTGTTTGCTGCCAATTCAAGATTCTCCTGAACCAAAGCTAATGTTCTTCCATTTCTAAGCATCCTTGTAGGCAGGGACCTGTGTGTCAGCATCCCTGTAGACAGCTCCCATGGGGATTTCAGACACAGAAGTATATTTAGCAGAAGTTGGAGAAATCTCTTGTATCCAAGTGGAATAAATTCTGATTTGCCCAGAAGTTTCTGCCTGACTTCTACCACAGTCCCCATCAGCAGGATTGGACATGCTCTTCTGTAATCACAATGTAAGGGCTCAGTTTGTGGGCTGGGCTCTGGTGCTTGAGTGACTGGAGCCGTTATTCCCCTGCAGGCACAGGGGAAAACACCATCTCCTAAAACCTGGCTAAAGGAAGTTTTATTTGGCATGCATGAGCCCACCCTTGCAAAGCTGAAGGCTGTACACACAGTCAGTTAGCACAGATCACCTGAGGTTTAGTCAACAGATATGTAAGGATTAATGGAGTTACCTAAACTCTCTGAGAGAAGTATTTAGAGGGGAACTTCATTAGATCCACAGCTGCAAATTATAAACCCTTCTACCCTGTTTGAGGTTTGTTATCTTTAGAGATCACCATGAAAAGTGGAACAGCTGTGAGAGCTATTATTCAAGCTGATATATAATGATTGCAAAAAAGGTAGGGTGTTTAGACAAATGATACGAAGAACAGATTTGCAAGAGGATCATTAAATTCATGTTCCTCTGAGGTGGTGTGCATTGAGAGGAAAGGCACAAGTGAGATACTCAAGAACAGTGAAGTGTTCACAAGAGTATCTTCTGAACTTGTCACAGCAGTGCCCATAAGAGGAAGGACTGGGCTGAGCAGGAGAGTGGAGAACAACTTTCCCCTACAGATTGAAGTCACATACAAAGGTGTACCCATTATCTCTGCTATGTATATCACTGGTTTGTGAGACTTAATACCCTTATTGTATAGAGGAGAACAGTTGCAGTTTCAGCTGCTTGCATGGTCTGGAGGGAGCTGGTGCTGGAGGACTGTGCCATCAGTGTCAGAGGAGTGTGCAGGAGGGGTATCAGTGCCTTCAGGCAGGCAGAGCTGCAGCTTGTCATGTCAGCAGTTATTCTGGGCTCGGTGACCCGCCAGTCTTTGAGGTAGATGACAAATCTTGACTGGCCTCTAACTTGGGAAGGGCAAGAAGCAGCTGAATGCTAATAGAGCTTCTCCTCCCGGTGCCCCCATCCTGGGCAGGGACTGCTCTTGCTGACACAGAGCTGCTCTTCCCCTAAAAGGTTTGCTGGTCCTGTCCTAGCTGTTCATCCCAACTCAGGGACCAGGACAAGGGCTTAGTGATGCCTAGGAACTGCACAGGTCTGCTGAACATCAGCAGAGAGGCACAGCTTGGTGAGGTGTATTTTCCCTCCCCTGGCTTTGGCAAAGAGTGCAGGAATTATTTGGGGATAAAAAAACTTCTCTTGCTTTCAGACCCACGTAGGAAAACAGTCACTTCATCAAGCACTTGGCACATGTGCTTTGGTGAGGCATGTGGGGTCTCCATAATTATTATCAACGACTTTTTCAGAGGAGGGGGTAGGACCTGAGTCCTTGAAACTTAGATTCCCTTCAGGTGCTGAAGGAGGGGAATAAGAGAGGTATTATTAGAAAGCATTTCTTTTATATAACAGATGTTAAATAGCACTATACCACTATATCAGTCTGTCAAGTACACTAATAGGAAACAGCATATAGAAAAGTTGATATGTGAATTTCACAGGGAAACAACTGCCCCCCTCCTGCAGGATCCCGGGGTCTGGGGGCCAGCGTGGAGCACAAGGAGCAGCTGCACATATGCCAGGCACATGTGGATGGAGAGGGGAAGGAATAGTTGTGGACTAGGACAGGAAAAACTTGGTGCAGCTGGAAAGGTTTTCACCCACACTGTCCTGGTTGTTGTACTTGAAACCGGATTAAAAATATCCTTAAAGCAGAGACCACACATATCTTTGGGTTTTGACAAGTTGTGTGTATCATGCTATGGGTTTCAGTGGTGTTAATTGGCATTTTCACTATGTAGGTGGTTTAAAGTCTGAGGGAGAAAAACAAACCTCTAATGGATGATTAAAGGTTGAAAAGCAAGCCTGGCTTTATAGTAGCACATGTTAGTTCCAAGTTAGACCCAAGGCCATGGTATTTTCCTCTTGGACTCTGCGTTGCTTCCTAAAACTTGTCCTGGTGATCCCCAGCTGGCTGTGACCACAGGCAGCTGAGGTTGGTACGGTTTCATTAAAAGAGCTGCCTGAAGCCCAAGGTTAGGTGATGGGAATTTCAAAACAAAACAATAAATTAATAAAATGAATGTGTCATCAGCTGATCCTCTTCTGACCACCATCTGTCCCCTGATCATGTGACGTCTCCCAGCTGGCCACCCAAGAGACAAACCATGCAAGATCATCACCACAACATATGCTGCTATTTACACATTTTTAAAGGTAATAGTTGCTAGGCTGTCATATTAGTAGTTAAAAGCAGTTATTTGGAAGCTAGGGGATTTTTTCTTTATTTCTCTCCTTTTTATTTTTTTCCCTTAGGAAGGCAGTGACTCAGCACTCAGCAGGTATATTTCTGGCAGAGATGTTCAGGGTTGGATCAGTGGAAGTTCCTATGTAAAGTAGATGTAATT